TTCAAAAGGATGGCTGTGGAGAATCCAGAGGTGAGTCCAGATGATAGAGCTGAGGTAACTACTGACCCTGCCCAGTGATAGGAGAGGATGTACAAGTGAAAGGTTACATTCACTGGCCAGCTGTTTCCCACCCAGGGCCGAAACTAGAGGGGGGGGCATGTGCCCCAGGAGCAGCATTGAGCGGAGCGCCAAAGCTGGTACTGATGTTCCTGCAACAGCTGAAACCACTCATCTTGTCCTCACCCTCCTGCTAAACATTCAGCTGCTGCAGGAGGAAAAATACAGGGATCAGTAGCAGTAAATGCCACCCCAGCTATCAATCTTGTCCATTCCCCTTATTCTTTAGCTGTTTAGTCACCGTACTCCTCTGGTCCCTTCTGCCCCCTATGCTCTGGACCCCCGCAGCGCTCCCCTCCTCACCTGCCAGCTAGCTGTACATTAGGCGGGTGGGCTGAATAAAGGCATAATCCTCCTCAGCATGGAGAAGTTCAACATGTGATCAGTAAGACAGCCACAAAATAGTTACAACATAACCTTCCTCGGCAATCGTTCTGCTGGTTTTCTTTCTCTCTGCTCTCCATCCTACCGGCTGCTGCGGGAAATCTATTCAGGATGGAGAGCAAGGAGAAAGAAGACCAAAAGAGAAGAATGTGAGGGGGGCCTTAAACTTTAAAAATCAGAACTTCTGTATAGGAAAAGGCACCGCAAAGTGCCTACTTTTTACTTTTTGAAGTCAGAAAACCCCACATGTGCCTCTCTCAAACTGGTTTTGCTTTATTTCTAAGGACTTAATTTCCCTTACCCTGGGGTTAAGCCTACCTGCTATCCTCCAGAGACAAGTATCTAGGAGGGGATTTCCTCTCACTGTAAAGAAATGTCCTATCACGTCCTGTTGAGTCTATAGCACAGGAATTGACAGGAAATCTCTACTATGAGACAAACAAAAACATTCCCTAATCTATCCAAATCAATGAAAACTTTTGCTCTTTACACTTTATACTTTAAATAATATTATAAAATGCTCCTGAATGCTATAAAAAAGAGGAGTACAACCCTTATCAGTGGCAGATAACCAGAATTATATCACTAAGCAGTAGCATATAGCAAGTAAAATATTAATAATCCACATCTGATAATCTACAGTATAATGTACAGCTACAATCTGGAACTTCTGCCCATAATCCATGGTTGCAATGCGGAGAACCTTTACTCATAACCTGTAAAGTGCCATGGTGAGGAACCATTAAATTTCATTAATGAAGGTGCCAGACAAAGGGGTTGATTTAGTACAGGCAAACAGAATGCAGTTGCACTCTGCAAGTGCAGTTGCTCCAGTGTTTACTAATTGAAATAAAGCTTCACTTTGCAAAAGAATACCCAATCACGTGCAAGGAAAATAAAAAAAACATTTTTTATTGCACATGATTTGATGATGGAAGACATCAGAGTTTCTGCTCATTTACTAAGCTCCGGAAAAACTGCCCTTGCAGAGTGCAACTGCACTTTGCGAAGTGCGCAGTCTATTTGCCTTTAGTAAATCAACCCCAAAGACTTCTCTCTGTTAGCACTGGCTCTTTCCTATACAGTGGACCTCTGACTGCAGTGTAACCTTATGTGATTATGTTTATATGTTGCTATCAGGGCTGGATTTAGGCCCCTTTCACACTAGAGTGCTTTTGGTGAGCTAAAACACACTTTTCCAGCTTTTCAAAAGCACACCAAAAATGTACCTTCTATTGTAAGTCAATAGGAAAGCATCAAAAGTGTACTGCATCTGCATTTTTAACGTTTCAATGTTTCACAGGTGCAAACTGGGATCCAGGAAACTAGAAAGTGAACCAAAAATCACATTCTAAACATATGTGTTTTTTAAAAAAAAGCATTCCATGTTTTTAGGCGTATCAGTGTGAAAGGGCCTGTAGTATCCAAAACCTGTAGGCCAGTTGTGATCAATACATTTGACACAGAAGGCCTTAAATGTGGCTCCTTACGTCACCAAAGAGGCCACACACAATATTCACTATATGTAATGCTGCAGAAGCCTGTCAGAGATGGGCAGAGACTGTGTCTATGGTCAGATAAAATTAGGTCTGAACATAAAGGGGAATGGATAGCACACAAAAAGTAAGAACGTATGGAACATATAAACCAGATCATTTACCTAGCAGAAGCCAGGCCAATTAATTTTCCATTCATTGGCTTGGATGAGCACCCAGGCAAGAAAAGCACTAGCTACTGGCTGCTGTGGCTGCACAGTAAGTACTGGGGGCTTTATGTTGCTGGCTCCAGGGCTGTAGACACTAAAGCTTTGGTTCCTTTAAAACCAAGCTCTAGATTTTATCTATATTGCATAGTACAAGCTGGACCAATGTATACATATCTCATACCTGAGTGACAGCTGGGGAAGCTGACAATCATTGTAGTAGTTGGTGCTACTACAATGATAGCCACTATCTTCTGGGTCCTGTGTCGGGCGGCTTCTCCTCTGCATTCTGACCACAGGACGTCACTTGATCAACAGTACCGCCCTTAATATGTATCACTGACCCATTAGGAAATGACGTAATAAAAACATTGCAGGCAAACAAATCTGTACAAAATTAAACAAAAGAAAAAAATAACAGCTAAAAAAGAGAGATGATATTCCAGAGGAGCTAAAAAACATGTGATCAAGAAAAAACTTAAAGCTGAACTAAAGGCAATTTATACATACCTTTCCTCCAACAGTCCCATCCCTTGTCAGAGCCGGCATCTTCTCCTGTGTGCTAGATTTTGGCCAGCTTCATTGGCTAGCACTGGACGATGTCACTCCTGCACATGTGCAAGAGGCTGTCATTCCGGAACAAAAAGATCGGGCAGGGCGCAGCTCCGTTTTCATGCTAGAGGATGCTGCAAACAGGCAGGCAAATGTATTTTATTGCAGAAGAGACATTATGTGCCCGGTCATACCCATGCAATTTCAGGTGTGATTTAGGAATTGAAATCACACCTGAAATCGCATCTAATGAATGTAAATGTCAGTGTCTTAACATTTACGATTCGCTGCTGTACGACTTCTAAAGTAGTTCTTGCATTACTTTTTCTGCAGTTTTGTTGCGATTTCACATAAATAGAATACAATGGAAAAAGCACTGCAAATTGAAAGAAATTGGTGAAAATCTTCACACGTAGCAATAAAGTCTTCAGAAATCGCACCTGAAATCGCAGTGAAACTGTACACAAATTGAACAATTTTTTTAAATTGCAGCGGTGTGACCAGTGGTTAAATGTCTGTTCGGGAATTAAAAAAAACTACCCTTGCTGCATACAACTGCAGAACTTTAGTTCAGCTTCAAGGCAAAATTTAACTCCCAAAAGATTGTAATTTCTGTTTAGTACTTGGCCCTCTTCGTATTATAAAAAGCTGATTTTTTTTTTGTGTTTATTTTTTTATGTTTTTTTTTTATGTCCAGTCCTCCCCCACTCCCCACCACCATTCCGACCTAGGCCAGAAAGTGTCCCTGGTCCTGCAGCCTCCTTCACATCTCCCAAGAGGCTGTATTTTCAGGAAAGTGAAGTTGGTAGAGGGCAGGCTAGAGGGTGGGCCTGGTGCATTACTGGCTGCCTACACCTGGAAGCGGCAGCCAGCTGAGGAGGACCAAGATGGTGGCATAAGATCCTAGGTATGTCCAGTGGTACAAACTGTTTGGGCAAGTGTATGTTTTGAAGAGAACTCAGCAATATAGGTAAGAGGAAAATGAAACAAAGTGCGAGTGCTACTTTAAAGTTTATAAAATGCAATCAGTTATGTGACGGTTGAATATCAACAACAAAAATCAGTTTGGAACAGTAAACCCACGCAGTAAATCTATTAATAGCAATTAATCTGCAACTTACTGTAGTTTAAGATAATGACACTATCATTTTTCATGTTATGCATCAGCTCTTGAAGCCTCACAATAATGGCTCTATGTACATTAAATGGGGTATTGTGAGAATCACTGCAAATAAAGTGATTAGCTCATAACTGCAGATAGTTCTGCCTGTTCCAGCATGATATAGCTTCAAAGCACTATAAATACAGAATGAGTAAGCATCATCATGATATGCTGTTTGATTGTAAGCTGTGGAGGATGGAGACCAGACCAATAACTTTTCCTGGGTCGTGTTTAAAATGTAGATGTGACCTGTTAAAATATTATATTTTTATATATATATATATATTATATTTATTTATATTTACAGTGCTCAGCATGAATGAGTGCACCCCAACAGATTTGCCAGAAAACATTTACTTTCATTTTCTATGGGACACTATACTACAAAATACTCCACACAAAATTGATTGAAACAAAATTTGTTCATTTGTACACACAAAAAAGTATTTTTCCTAACAAATTAATTCAAGACCATGTTGCAAAAATGAGTACACCCCAATGAAAGTCTTAGGAGAAAAGCTAAATTTTAGACATCAAAATCCTAATTAACAAGAATTCAACTACTGGTGAGTCTAACTATTCATTTAACAGGTGTCCAGCAGACAGTTGACTATAAAAGGCCATTACTTAACAAAGAAAACCCCATCCCATTTCATGCTGTCAGCAATGGCACCACATGGAAGAGAACTGTCACAAGGCCTGAGAAAGAAAATTATATCTTTACACAAGAAAGGTGAAGGCTACAAGTAGATCAGCAAAGCTTTACTTATCAGTCAGAATACTATAGAAAAAGTGATACAAAAATTTAACAAAGATGGAACTGCAACCATCTTACAGCCACGTCCAAGCCGTCCACGGAAGTTAACACCTTGACAAAAGGGTCTTCTGATGAGAAGGTTTGAAGAAAATCACCATGCAAGTTCACTGCAATTAGCTAAAGAAGTAGAAAGCCAAACTGGCGTGATTGTTTTCCATGACACAATACAACGTACACTGCAGAGGAATGGCATGCATGGGTGTCATCCACGAAGGAAGCCTCTCCTAAAGCCCATGCACAAAAAAGCCCACCTAGAATTTGTCAGGGCCCATGCTGAAAAAGAAGACGATTACTGGGACTCTGTACTCTGGAGTGATGAGACCAAGATAAATGTTTTTGGAACTGATGACTTCAAAAGTGTATGGCATCGCAAAGGTGAAGAGTACAAAGAAAAATGCATGGTGCCTACAGTGAAACGTGTCCTTCTGTGGGGTTGGTGTCGGGGAGCTGCATTTCATTGATGGTATCATGAATTCATGGGTGTATTGCTCTACAATGAAAGAGAAGATGCTACAATCACTCCATGCCCTTGGTTGTTGTGTACTTTTCCAACATGCCAATGATCCAAAACACAAATCTAAGGCAACTGTTGCATTTCTAAAGAGACACCTATGGGGTATTCTGAAGAGACAAGTTGAGCATCACTCTCCATCCACCATCCAGGCTCTATAAGAGGTAATTCTTGAAGAATGCAAAAAGATAGATGTTGCAATATGTCGCCAACCTGTTCATTCCATGCCTAGAAGACTTGATGCTGTCCTTACAAATCACGGAGGTCATACAAAATACTAGATGTGGTAGTTTTTGTTGTGGGGTGTATTCATTTTTGCATCAACTAATTTGAGTAAAACTGAAGATTTTGTAATCTAAGCTATATTATTAACTTTACTTTCATGTAACGAGCTAAACAAATGTTCTATAAAACTGTGTTTTGTCAAAATGTTGGAAATTGTTCTTGTGTTCATTGAGATATTGATTAAAATCTTACTTTTCAAAAGGAGCGTACTAATTTATGCTGAGCACTGTATATACAGTATAATTGATGTACACATCATACTTTACTTTATTGATATTTAAAATCTACAGTTTTCTACAACTGCCAAAAAAAAATTCAGATTTTACCACTCCACACTATACATTTTGTAGACAGAAATTGCGAGAATAAATATACCTTGCTCCGGTAACTGTGCATTGCACATAGCTTGAGATCAGCCTACTATTAGCGGTATGGCATCCTAGACACAACTTGAGATTATTATTATTATACAGGATTTATATAGCGCCAACAGTTTGCTCAGCGCTTTGCAATATAAGGGAGACAATACAGCAACAATACAGTTCAATACAGGAGGGGATAGGAGGGCCCTGCTCCTCGGAGCTTACAATCTAGGAATCCTTGAGAACTAATTCTTACATTTATTCTTTGGAGGCCAGGTGTTTTTAAAGTTCACACATCTAAAGGAATGCCTGTCGTGCAATATTTCATACAGTAAAACCAATGAACATTGTATGCTGAGGCTTTACAAATTGAAGCACTGTAGAGGACAAGTAAAAACTTTTTTTTTGTTCAGTCAGTGTGCCTGTTCTGCAGTGATGATACATCCCTGCAATGATAAACATGTGTTTCTAAAAACAAAATGCACCAGGCACCAGAGGCAATAGATGCAGACCCATGGGTTCTGGGTGAGGAAATAATTCAAGAACTGAATTCCAGAACCTGTGCTCACGGCAGGCAGAGAGCAAAGGGATAGTCACCAGTATTGCCTATGACCTATGGTCTCCCTGAATCTGATCCTTCCCCTTTACTGACTTACTATGTCTTGTTCTGCACTGTGTCTCTGTGTTGGGGCAGTCATCTTGGTTGAGGAACAGGGATTTGCTTCCTTATGTCAGAGCTCTCAGGAAGGAGAACTGTGGGCTGTATGGTAACAATATCACCCAATTTTAACTGAAATTTCTTGAGACTAGCATTCAGTGGCAGCAGTTCCCGAGCTCTTACACTGCATATAATACAGCTGAGGCTGTAGGCAGGTTGCCTACAGTAGTTAAGATAGCAATGGCTGGCCTAGGCAGGTTAAGGGGTTAAATTGTTCTGATCTGGTTCCTGGGCTTTTGGGATCCAGCCTTCTCGTCCTGTGGTGCATATATACTGTAAGGGGTGAAGGCCGGGTACCGAGGGCTGATTCTTGGACCCACCTGCCAAGATGCTGTGACACTGTTCCATGGAAGGGGAATGCTGGGGCCTGCAATCCACCTGAAGGCACCAGCTTATAGGGGAACTGCCACCTTGTGAACTTCCAGTTTATGGACTCCTGTACAAAGTATCTCTGGGCAGCCACAAAGTAGAAGAGTTAGTGAGGGACGCGCTTGTGTACGTTGAGAAGAATTTCAGTAAAGTTCATTAACTGTCTCCTGAGCTTGGTGTGAAGTTACTCAAAAGGGTGCATGAAGGTTCATGGCACACAAAAGAACTTGGGTCAGTTAAAGCACACACGGGGTATGAAGCAAGTCTGTTACATGGGGTTAACTCAGCATCAAGAGTGGAAAAGAGAGAGCAGTTACCATGGGTAACCAAGGACTGGTGTTTCAGGAGCGTGGTACCTGGGTGGGGTGAGGTGTTGGTGTGTTGGTTCCCTTCCCAGTGGTCAGTTTCCCATAGCATCTGGAACGAAACCTGCATTATGGAGACCCCCAGCCTTGCCGCATGGTATGGGAGAGAGTGAGAAGCTAATGAAGGGGAGTCAGATTAGTTTTTTTCCTTCAACCCACTGGTTGAATGAAAAAACTGACCCATCTGTGGCCTGCATTACAATTAGAGCCACTCTACCTGGCTTATGTAGAAGGTGTAACAGAAATTCTTGAGCTGTGTTTGGGGAGGTAGGGTAGCTAGAAACTTTAGCAACAAAATCTGCTTTTAGAGTAGCAGCCAATTATAGGAACTTTATGGGTATCTCATTTGTGCCCACCTAAAAAGTAGAGCATGCACTAGGACAGCCTTTCTCAACCAGGGTGCCCAGGCACCCTGGTGTGCTTTGAGGTTTCTTCAGGGGTGCCTTGGCAAAATGTCTAAAAATTGCCCAAAACTTGTGTACAGGCCAGCGGGTGGAACAAGCCTGCCTTTTAGTTAACCAAAATGTCATGTACCTGATGGGAGACTGAATTGACGAGGTCGGCCTCACTTGTGTCACTAATCCTGAGCCCGCTGAGGTTGGAACAGAGGGCGTCTAAGGACCAGGGGGACAAGAGCACCAAGGTTTTGCTTGCCGCTCTTGCAGATGATGACCTTGGTAAGCAGGATATCCACTGATTCGGACACTGTAGAAATAGACCAGGAAAGTACAGTGGATTGTCAGATGCACAGCAGAGCCAGGTTTGCAGCCAGGACACAGGACTGGAGCGGAGTCGTAGGATAGCCAGGGTCATAACAGTCGGGCAGCGCGGTACAGGATCAGGAGGAAAATGCCAAAGTCAGGAACAGAGCCGAAGTCAGGAAACGGGGGGGGGGGGGGGGGGGCAGAAGAGAACTCAGAGTCGGGTCAGGAACAAGCCGGGTCAGCACCAAAGGAATCGCACAGGAAACAAGCAGGACACTGGGGGGAGCTGAAGACCAGTCAGCACTGAATCAGCACTGAGGTGCTCTTTAAAATAGCCCACCGAACACCGACAGGCGCGCCTGGGTCCTAGTGCCTGCCCGGTGCCGTCATTGGTGACAGGCGCGCCTGGGTCCTAGTGCCTGCCTGCCTGTATGCCTTGTCGGGATCCTGCGCCTGTGCAGATTCATGCGCTACGGCGATCTTATTGTTCCCTGATACAAAGACACAGGTTTTTATTGTGCACCATTACGACCAGGGGCAGACTGACCATTCGAGCACTCGAGCACTGCCCGAGGACCCGGGGTCAGTAGGGCACCCCATGAAATGCCCCTGGTACCTTTTTTATAGGCTTTTTTGAGTGTGGGCAAGGACACAGGGGCCCCATGATCTCCTATTACCCGGGGGCCCCATGAGTTGTCAGTCCGCCCCTGATTATGACCTTCTAGCCTCCGTCATCCTGACAACCAGTGACGTCATCCGTTGATAAGGAGGATGTCAGCTGGCTGCACAAGATCCTAGTTTGACCCTGCCTAGTTTGACCCCCTTGCCCCTTTCCATCAGTGCTGAGGTCACACTAGCTCATTGATGGAGAAAAACTGAGGGAGAAGAGAAACACTGGAATACTAGTCAGTACCAGTGTGCAAAAGTGTATTTGCTTTGGAAGAATAAATCCCCTCTAATGTTGGGTGTCCTATATGTGTGGATGTTGCTGCGTTATATAAAACTATTAGAATAGTTTTTCACATTTTAGAATGGGGTGCCTCAAGACTATCCATAATTTTAAAGGGTGCCTCGGGGCTGTCCATAATTTTAAAGGGTGAGAAAAAGGTTGAGAAACATTGCTGTAGGATGACCTTTAAATCTGATGTAATGTAAGACAGAGGGAAAAGCCAGTTACCCCAATATTGAGCCTCTTTCAAAACATCAGTTGAAAAAAAATGAACATTTATATGTTTATTTTTAGCAAATTGTATTGCACAAGTACTGGAGCCCTGAGAACACTCTCCCTGCTCTCAATTCTGGCGTTAAACGTTTTGGAGCAGATTCAGTGCAATGTTAGATTGCTGCTGCTGAGGTGGCTGTGACTTGCTGCCAAACATTGAAAGGGAATGCATGACTTCTAAACAATTTCTCTTCAGCCAGCTTTGCCACGTACTATAATATACCACCTCACTTACTGTATGCGATGAGACAGATTTTAAAAACACTTGTTATGATTAGATAAATATAATAGTTCAAGGAGGATCCTGACCAAGCCCTTTTCCCTTTTATGGGTAAGGAAGGCCATAGATGGTGCGACTTTCTGCCCGTGGTTGCAAGAAAATCGCTTGATTCCCCCATCAACACTGACTGAATCCCTCCCGCAGAGCTATGTGTTTTCCCTGCGGGGGGCAGGGGTGTGTGTGGCCGGGGAGCCATCCCTGCCAGGAACACGATTATTGCTAGCATCTATAGCCACTGGCACTAATCGCCTGCTAAGAATCTGACATTCTGATTGTACACAAATCAATCAATGGATCGACTTGGGTACAATCAGCCTGCTCATAGATGGATCAAATCTTGTCCGGTCTGCTGAACTGGCCGAGATTCAAGCCATCTGTTACTGGCTGGCCTAAGGGTTTAACGTGGACCTGAATTAAAAAAGTGAAAAGTTTCTATCTTACAGGGGATATTGAAACATTTTCGTTTGACTTAGACAGTATCCTATACAAATCCACCTTTTGTATTGAATTCCTCCTTAAAAATAGCATTTCTATACTGGATATTCTGTATATCTGCAGTGTGAGATCTAAAGCCTGGTTCAGCAGGAACTGACCAACTTTCGATATGTGTGCCACTGTCTATTCAACAGAAGCCGATGTAATGATTAGCTTCTGTTGAATGGACTTGCTGGAACATCAGCATTTAATCAGCACTTTCAACCAATGGTTGCCAACACTGATCAATGCATTCTGGCAGAATACAATAGCACAGTGGGCAGATCCTTACTTCACACATTGTTATGTTG